ACCAAGGCTATCCACATCCCTGGTCAATGGTCAGAAGGAATTCACCAGAAGTTAAATCTACGTGGGGACTCTGCAAATGGATTTGGGGCTTTTGTTGTCATTCATTCATTTTGTTTGCCTTCTGCAAATTAGGTGTTTGGAATTTAAACTCTAATACAATTCCCTCTCCTGATCTTGGATTGTTATTTATAATCCTTAAAGCACATGATTAAAAAAAAAAAAGCACATGATATGTTTCTTCATGCAGACTTAGCTGACACTTTAGTTGGGTGCTTGTTCAAAGACAAGTCTTTAAGACTCTGGATGCAATTCTTTCTGATAGCCAGGTACCACCATCTGATTTCTTCATCATACTTTGCTTACCACCCATATTTCCAATGATCTCTTCATGAAGGCAAGTATCAAGTAGGGCCACATCATAATAACTAATTGTTCTTAAACTAATGTAAGCTCAAAATCCATTCGTATATAGTTTCTATGTGCCCTGGTCCCCTTTAGAGACAGCATTGTTATATTATTGTGGAATATTACAAGTATGGTACTTGATGGCACCTAACAACAATAATCAAGTCAGTTCCGACCTAGAGCAACCCTATGCACAACAGAATAAAACACTGCCTGGTCCTGTGCCATCCCCACACATGTTCGAGCCCATGGTAGCCATGCTGTCGACCCACCTCACTGAGGGGCCTTTCTCTTTTTCTGCTGCCCTTCCATTTTACCAAGCACGATGTCCTTCTGCAGGGACCAGTCAGTCTCTCCTGACAACATGTCCAAAGTATGTCAAATGAAGTCTTGTCATCCTTGCTTTTAAGGAGTACTCTGGTGGTACTTCTAAGACAGATCATTAATTTAGCCAATGGTATAGAATTTAAAATACTATTGAGGAAAGGAAGATACCCATGGACAGCTTTTTCACTTTAAATTCATGGAGTATTGTGTAACATCACAGTTTGTAATTGATAAATTCTTGTACTGATTTAAAACTCCAGTGACTAAACACCATTTGCCCAAATAATGAATTGGGGATAGGGCAACACTTTCAGTAACACTCATCACTAAGGTAGGACTATGCCTGTTGGACTAAAAGTCATACATCATCCAAACAAGTATGGAAATTGTAACTGTATGGTAGGTAGTCTTAAGTTGTCAATTATTGTACACCCTCAGAGCCAGAAATTTGAACCAAACCCCAGTGACTTGCAAACCCACCACCTTTGGGTAGTAGTCATCTGCTTCTCACACTAGGACGTTTCAGTCTTAAGTCCAACAGAGTATTTCCTCTGTCTGCTACAATTGTGTTTAAGATAAAGTCCTTTGCTTAGCGGGGTTTCTAAATCAGATCCTTCTGGTGTGGCCTGTGAAGGCAATTATGCACCTTGAAAGAACAAAGTCTAAAGTCCTGGTTGTCTATAGCACATGGCCTGGGTCATTATAGGCTAGACAGAAAGTCAAAAGTGCCTGATTGGAATATAATACCGGGGGTATTCTATTGGAATAGGGGGGTGTCCATATAAGCAATGCTAAGTACTTTTTCCCCAGTGGCAGCTTGCCCCTCCTGGTTTACCCACCAACAGAAGTGAAATCACTTTCTCTGATAAAACAATAAAAACAGACATGTCTCCCACCCACATCTGAGTTTGAATTTCCAGGAAGCCTGAACATTTTTAAAGGTTCACACTCTTAACCAGATACTAAACCTTAATATAGGCATGTTTCTATTAGACTAAGTACTCGAAGACTTTCTCAGTAGTTCTTTCCCTTTAATGTGGTAGTTGAGGCATGCTTAATAGTCCCTGCTTACCTCCAGCTTATTCCCCATAGGCTCACTTTTTCTAAGTTCCAAACTTCTTTTTACGTTCTAAAATGTGACAGGTTCCCTCCCCAACTCAACCATTAAGGGATTCCTTTTCCTAGAATATGTACTCCTCTCCTCCCTGCTCCAGCTCCAGTACACCCCACACACTCTATGTAACACCTCACCACACCCATTACTATGGGTGGGAAAAGGTGGGATGAAGGGAGAGGGCCCTCCCCGCCCCAAAATCATCACAGGTCCAGTAGGTGCAATGTACAGCAATAATAAGTAAAGATTATAGTAAAGTCATAGAGAGCATTAAAGTTAGAGGAGATTGGACTAAATGGAGTCAGACACAATTCATGGTAGCATTGCTCACCTCAGTCCCGCTTGATGGTCCACTTGGGGGGAACCTAGCCACGAGAGCAGGAACAGCCTCGGGGACCAAGAACTGGGGAGCCTCCTCTGGCCCGAGAGCCAGAGAGGGCCCCGGGGAATCAGGGAGAACTTCTTCTTTATTGCTGACCAATCCTTATATATCTTTAGGGGGACATCATTACAGAATCACACGTCACAGGAAGGGGCAGTACAATAGGCATACACATCATAGGAAGGGGATCTATGATAGGCATAAGCGTAACAGGAAGGGGATGAGCTAGGGGTGGGCTCATAGGAATGGGAAGGTCTAGGGGTATACATGTGACAACATGGGCGGCCCCTAGATTCATGATGGCGGCCTAACCTTGGTCATCCTTGGGCGGGTTTGACCT